GAAGAGCGGAAAATGTGATGCTGACGTAAAGAACATCGTATAACGGATATTAGAATGCGAGAGAGCAATGCAAGAAAGCATGTCAAACAGAATTTTTTTCCTCTTTTACTGTACAAGCTTACGGCAAGCTTATGAGCAAAATAATCCTGCTACCGTCAAATCGGGAGTTTGTCAGGAAAATTCACTGGCAAACGCGACGCATTTGCTTAAAAGCAAAGAATTTCGCGAGAAAATCGAATCAAATTTATATAATTTATACAACCGATCAAAAAAAGGATTCGGTATTAATTATTTAGTAATACTTATCAAATATTTGATTAGAGTCATCAAATATTTGAAGACAGCTATTAAACATTTAATAATTGTTTCTAGATTATTTAGTTGACTCAATTATAAACAAAATATATTTATCGGATCAATTAAATATTTAGTAACCATTATTGAATGTGGCAATAGTTATCAGATATTCAATTGAGATCCACATTTTAACGCATCTGATACCTGTTACCAAATATAGTTTTTGCGGTAGCGAATCTCTGCGTAAAACATTGCCTCTACGCGTTTGTTAATCATGTGCACAACTTTATCCCGATAGCATAATGTATCCATATGATTAAAGATTCTCGCGCGAGATTATCTCGTTCCGATACGAAGGAAACGAGATTAATCCTCACTCTCCGGTTAGAGGCATCGCCGGTAATGAACGCGCGATACGCGGCCCTTCTACGGATTAGAAAAAGGATCTGATTATATGCTCGCGGATTATACTTATCTCGCGCCGAGAAAAGTCGCACGCGCGAGATTGATTTCGCGCGGCACTCGGTGAAATTTGCATTCGCTAATATCCCTCTCCCCGTTCTGCGAGAAATATCGCGTCCCTCGAAAGTAAAGTCTCCCGCGATTCAATTACGAGCAAGATCGAATTTTAGAGAGTTTGTCTTGCTAGCCCCGGAAAACGAGATACGTCTGATTTTCCTCCGTTGCAACATTCAACGTCCATCTCAGGGATTACGACGGGAGCTTTACGAAGATCATTAAATTTTTAACGTCTCTCACCAAAACGGCAAACGATAGATACATTTATCAAAGGTAGAGAACGGGGTAAGCGGGATGAAAAAAATCGCATCTCGCGAGAAACGTTTCGAGTTTCAGCGCGAGTAATCTCCGCTTTTTGCCTTGACGCGCAAATTTGTTTTTGTCTGTTCTCCCAAATAGTTTTCACTTTTAAAAGCTCGGCGAATTATATCCTCGTCGATCGACAAGTGAATAAATCAGCTTCCTTCGCGTTTTCTCCCTTCGTGCGACTTTTCTCCAATGTCTCCCTCTTTGAAAGCCAAAAGTAAATTTGGCCCTTTCGCACGATTATCTTGCTCTCATCATCTGTGCATAAATTTTTCATTTTGTCTCTATCTTTCTTAATATCTTCGTTTACATATTTATCTCTTTCTCGTATTTTTATATAAAAAATAAAATATGATACTTAAATTCAAATTTTTTTTACAACATTACTGAATCATAAATATGCGATTAAATATGATAATTTTAAATATGATTTAACTTTAAAATATTATTAAAGTTTACATTTTAATTTTAAAATACCATTAATATTTTTTTTTATTTAATTTTAAAATATTAAAATCTAATTTTTTTAATATTTGATAATTCTTACATCTATTTTATGCTTAAACAATACAATAATGCTTCGAAAATATAGTTTAGAAGAAACATTTGCATCGTGCAAGTAATATAACGCGCTTATCGACTCGCGCCCATGAAATCCGAGGTAAAAGCGTGGGCGTCGCTGCCGGCTGGATAATTCATAATGTCGAAGCGCGTATAGTTGTCACTTTGCTATACAGAATACCCCACTGGTATTTCCTTGCAAGACCCTTCTTTTATACCCTGTCTCTTGGCTACTTCCCTCTTTTGTTCCTACCTGCCTTGTTTTTATACTTTGGCGGATCTTTATACTGAGAAACCGCTTAAGAAGTCTCTTAACGCGATTGGTTCCATTCGCGCAATGAAAAATTTTCAGGTATTCTTTTTTCATGGATAAAAAATATAGAAAAATAGAGAGAATAGAGCTTATTATACAGCGTCCTATTATCTTATGTAATGAAAAAACACGTCGATGCGAAAAAATCGATACTATTTTTTATCTCGCGGAGAATATTATCTTTAATGTGAAAAATGCTATGAGGAAAAGTGAATGTATCAATTGATCATATTTTAATAATAACGGAGAAAAAGAGGATACCATGATGTAACGGTATTCTTTATCCTCTCCATTTTCTATCCCCTACGACTTTTTCCAAGTTCGATGGCGTGGGAGCCCTTTAATTTTCCGCGAGTCTCTCTCGAGCGCTCTTC